GGGGATCCTGTGCCCAGGATGGTGCTGGGCGAGTGTGCGTCCTCAGGGGAGACTTGACTTTTCTGCTGTAAATGCCCATAGCCCCACACTGTGCAAGTACATGTGGATCCCCTACCCCTGGCCAAACCTGTGGGCTGTAAGAGGATGCTTCGAGGGCAGGCAGGCAGGTAGGCAGGCAGGCAGCAGCGAGCAGAGAGATAGCTGAGGAGGAGCTTAGAGACACAGAGACACCAGGGAGCCCCTGACCCCTACCCCACCCCCACCCTCTTCGTTGGCTCCCATAGCTTACACCAGGTGGGTATTGCTAGCACCTTGGACAGGTCCAGCCCTGGGCTGGGAAGGCTATGAGGAGAGATGAGTGAGAGCCCTCTCCATTCCAGCCTTCCCCAGAACACCTCCAGTGTGGGTGTTGTGGGGCCCCAAAAATGTAGCTCTGGGATGTGTGCTATGGGTAATGTGCAGAGAGGCTGGAGAGGTGATTTGGGGCTAATCTCTGTGTGTGTGTGTGTGTGTGTGTGTGTGTGTGTGTGTGTGTGTGTGTGTGTGTTGGTAGGCAGGGTGTATTCATTAATTAATTCACTCATTCATCCAATTATTCCTTCAAAAGCGCCAGTCACCATGTTTGATTCTGGGGTTTCCAAATGGGAACAAAACTGACATGGTCTTTACTCTCATGGAGCTCACCGTCTATAGAGGGAGACAGATGTGACCTTGATAATCACACCAATAGACATAAAAGTACTGATGCGCTGGGGGAGGTGAGGTGTGAGGGGAGAGGACTCTGCTGAGTTTTGTCACTAGTTTGTGATTTGCCTTCATACCAGAATATTCACACTTCTTAGTTATCTGGAGACCCCTTTGTTGAAGTGAACTCTTGTTTGTATGAGAGCTGAACAGTGTGGGGCATTCCAGATCCCTACTCACTTGCCCTTCGGACTGTCTCCCCAGTCTCCAGTGGCCTCAGGGTTCTGGGGAGCACAGCTCGGACATCACTGCTCTGGGCATTGGGGAGCAGCAGGGCAGTGAGAGTTGAAATCGCTGTTTTGAGAAGATGCACGTGGCAGGGTGACCTGAGACAGACTGTGGCAGCGATGACAACTGGGACCAGCCTTGTGCCAGGTATGAGGAGACTGAGCTGACCGATGGGAGGAGGTTCTGCTGTGGAGCATGGGCCTGCTGAGGGGATTCTGGGGAGGGAGTCGGGGGCCGGGCTCCCTGTAGGCTTGAATTGCTCTAAGCTCAGACTCTGGCTTTCTCACTCAGAGAGCAGGTTGCATGGTCACAGAGCTGAGTTCCTTAAACAGCCTCCCACAGGCAGGCCCTTCTTTCGAGAAGCATGAGGAGGTGGATGGGCAGGGCGGCTGAGGCCTCTGGGGCAGTATTAGTTTTCTATTGCTGCTGTAACAAATCACAGCAGATTTAGGGGCTTAAAATCGCACAAATTTATCATCTTACAATCCTGTAAGTCAGAAGTTGACAGGGTCTCACTGTGTTAAGAGCAGGGTGTCAGCAGGGCTGTGCTCCGTCTGCAGGCTCTAGGGAAGGGTCTATTTTCCTGCCGTTTCCAGTTTCTAGAGGCCGCTGCCTGCACTTCTTGGCTCGTGGCCCCTTCTTGTGTCCTCAGAGCCAGCAACATCGCGTTTCTCTGACCCTCCTTCCATCATCACGTCTCTCTCTCACCACAGCTGGGAAACATTCCCCACTTTTAAGGTTAAGGACTCCTGTGGTTAGATCGGGCTCACCCAGGCAATCCAGGATAATCTCCCCATTTCAACACCCTTAAACTTAATCGCATCTGCAGAAGCCCCCTTTTGCCATGGAGGCGAGTAGTTGCAGGTTCTAGGGGTTAGAGTATGAACACTTTTGGGGTGGAATGGGTATCATTCTGCCTGCCACAGAGGCCCAGGGATCTCTATAGCCAGGATCAAAGAATCATGTGATTTCTCTTTGGCTCCTAAGGTTGGGGGTCCCCATAAGACCTACAACATGGATGCTCCCCTAACTAAAAATGGGTGTGGGGGATCCTCTTCTCAGATGGCTGCCTCACCAAACCTCACCTGCCTCTCACGCCCGGACCCTATAACCTGCAGCTCCTTGAGTGAGCCGGGCTTCCCCTTGCTTCTGCACTTCCCACACATTTGCTCTGCTTGGAACCTCTTCCTCCTCCACCCCTCCCTCACCCGACGCTGGTGAAAACCTGCTCGTCCTTGGCTGACCCCCTTGGAAAATGGCCCTGCCTCCTTGCCTCCCCCTCCTCTCCATCTGGCTGGGTTAGGCGGCTCCACGCCCCCTCCCTGTGTTGACAAGGCCTGTGCTGCCGTTCCCCTCCCCCATCCGACTGTGAGCTCCCAAAGGTGCAGCAGGACTGTCCCCATCTCTGAGGACAGCCTGGCCTGGCATTGAGCCTGTGACTGATGAGCTTTCTGAAAGAAATGAATAAAAGAATGATTCAGCTGAGGGGGAAGAAAGAAAGAAACGAGGCTGGGGTATCAGAAGTGACGATGAGGAAAGGTGGGTGTGCCCCCCACGCACCCAGGGTGGGGACCATGCTGGTTCATGTGTGGTCCTTAGCTGCATGAGGTTTGTGGGACGGTGAGGTAGCAGGAGAGATGGGTTTGGGAGGTCTCCCTTGGGGCCTGGGTCCATGTGACCTCAGTCACACAGTATGGAGGCTGGGGGCTTTGGGCAACTTGGACATGGCCCTGGCCCCGAGAGTCCAGTCGGGGCACTCTGACTGTGAGGCCTGCCTCTCCTTGGCTTGTCCCGCCCTTGAGGGTGGGCTTCTCCTCAGGCTTTTTCTGCAGCATGTCTGAGTTCGGGTCTGGACATATGGTAGGGGAGGGAGCTGAAATGATATAGGCACTGGAGCAGCTAGGGACAGTGGCTTCTGAGCTCCTAGGCTGGGAACCCATTTCTGAGGTGGGGGGAGCAGCACAGATACTCCAGGGTACCTCTCCTGTCCTACTCTAGACACTAATGGCTTCTGCTCACCTCTGGCTGCCTCCTTCTCCAGGAAGGCCCTCAGGGGTGGACCTTCTCTGTGAGTCTACACACAGGGAGAATTGCTATGGGGTGATGGAGGCTTTTCCAATGCAGAGGATGGGCTGGGGGAGCCCCCCTGCACCCCAAGTCTGAGTGGCCTTCCAGGGCCATTTCAAGCCATATTGGAACCTGAGGCAAAGGAAAAATCAGTGATACTAATTCTGTTTTTATTTAAAACTTTGGTATTTTATTCATCATGGATTTTTGCCTTAATTTTGGTTTTTAAAAATATTGCACGGAAATATTGTTAATCTGGATTACTAGTTTTTTTGGGACCTTACGTTTTGTGCCCCTTGAATTTTGTGCCTCGTTCGCCTCCCCCGGCTCTCAGCCCTGCTTCCAAGATGGGGCCCTGGCATTCTCCACACCTGCAAGAGCTCACTCTGGCCTCTAGTCTTCTACCCTGAGGAAGAAGGCAAGAGTGAGCTGGGTACCCAGGAGAGGAGGGGCTGGTGACGTGGCCATCGTGGTTTTTCTTAGGATTTGCCACAGCCATGAGCAGACGTGAGGGTAGGCTGAGCTGGGGAGGCCCTGAGGGCAGGGCTTTCTCCTGTCACCCAGCACTGAGCAAACTCCCGAGTCCTCGCAGGATTGGGGGCCTAACCCCTGGAACATCCTGCCGCCTGGGCTAAAGACATCTTTCTCCTGGGGTGTGCGAGAGGCCCAGGGGCACGGGCTGCTGGGGCTGAGGACAGGAGAGGAGGCTCTGGGAGGCTGGGTCCCGGGCTGCCTGCCCCAGCAACTGAGTGTGTCTCTGGATCTCCGAGGAGCCATGTCACTCTGGCTGTCTGACTACAGGCTGTGTTGGCAGGGCCTGGGCTCCCAAGCCTGATGTTCAGCACGCTGTCAGCACTCAGCAAATAATAAATAATAATAATATTTCCAGCATGCTGGGGGAGCCCAAGGAGCGAAGGAATTCAGAAAACATGTGTTCTGTCTCATGGTGGGTGCCCAGAAGCTGAAGTCGGTTTTGCACCTCTCTTTGGGTGGTATTTGGGAGAACCATCTCCGTCCCCCACGTTTGGCACCGGAGGAGGGTGAGCAAGCAGTTGGGGCCTGCCCTGGGAAGTGGGGGCTTAGGAGGAGTTGTCTAGGGGGTCTCTCTTAAAACAAAAAGGCTTAGACTGTCCTCAGATGTCCTCTGGGATTTGGAAATAAGCAGACTTGGCTTTAAATCCTGAATCTACCACTTCAGACAAGTCACTTAGTCTCTCAGAGCTGCCTCGGTTTTCTCACCTATAAAATGGGATGGTTACAGCAACTGTTAGGCAGAGTTAAATGAGAGCGGCCACAGGGGCTGGCAGCCAGTCAACGGTGAGCACTGCTGCTCTCATAGCTCATTTGGCCATGTCTCTGGTCCTCAGCACGAGGCCTGAGTTTGGTCCTGTGGGGGGCCATGGTGAGGAGCAGAACTGCACGGGTGGCTGGCACTAGGATTCTGCAGACCCTCTGTCTGCGCCCTGTTGCTTCGGTGTGCTGTTTGTTGACTGACTGTGAGACCTGGGAGCTTTCCCAGGGCAGGAGCTGGAGGTTGAGTGCTTGGTATTGAGGCCCGCTGGGGACTCAGTGGCATAGGTTTCGTTCCCTCGGCAGCCCCATGGGGCTCAGTACTGATATCTTGCGCTGCAGCAAACTGGGCTGTGGGAAGGCTGAGTGGGGCTGAGACAGTGGGCCTTGGGAGAGCCTTGGACACAGATCCCCGTGACCCCCATTATCTCCTTGGCCTGCTTCCTCAGGGTATGGGGAGGGGCTGGAGACTCCCCATAGGAGCATAGGGAAGTGAGGTGCTGCTTCCCATCCGACGAGGCTGTTTCTGACCTACTCAGGCCTCTCTGGGACTACACCTGGCCGTGCCCTGAACCTGCCTCTGTGGCTGCAAGCAGCCAGCCCAGCCCCTCTGCCCCATTTCCAGGCCTTCGCAGTTCCCCTTCTTCCAAGTAGGCTATTGTCCTACTCACCGTGAGCCTCTTGCCCTGAGGTGAGGGCTTCTTCCAGCTGGGCCAGCGAGGCCTCGCCATCGTCCCCCTTGGCCTGGCTCAGCGTGGTGCCACAGGGGATGGGCCACTTGTCAAATGCTGTTGTTTAATTTTTCTCGCTCAGACTCTGCTTGTTCCAACACCCTGCAATGACACGGGTGTTAACTGAGCACCAGGGACTATAATTATCAGGGTTGAGAGACAAGAATCTCCTGGTGGTGTAGCAGCTGCAGGCCGGAGCCACCGCCTGATCTGTCCCCAGAGAGGAGCCCCTCCAGTCCGACTTGTGTCTGAAGAGCAGCCGAGTTCATGCCCTTCACCTCACATTCGTCTGACCGCAGCCCTGGGGGGGTTCCTCCCTTGGTGGAGCAGATACATGGATGTTATTCGGATCGAGTTTGGCTGGGCGTCACCGTGAGTGTCTGAGCAGGACAGGCACCTTGTGTGGTCTTGCTGACGGCCAGTGAGGCACTGAGCTGGGAAGGGGCAGCTCTTGGCTACGTGGGTGCCACGGAGGCCTGGGTGGGCTCTGGGTGGCCGCAGCTGGGAAGCGGAGCTTTACCAAGGTTAGATGCAAAGTGTTGCGTTTTGATTCAGGAAATCAATTTCTGATTTCTGTCCGTGGTGGGACAGACCAGACTCAATAGCAGGGATCCCGGCTACAAAGTCGGAGTCAGCTTGTCACATACTATAGTTGCTTAATAAATGTGTATGAAGGCCATCTCCAAGTGCACGAATAGACTTTTAGTGTCTTGGTTGAGTGACGGACAGCATGGTCTCCTGGCAGTGGGTGCCTCATTGTGAGAGGCGTGAGCAGCCCGGGACCATGAGAAGATGGGTACCTCCTCATGTGGGGATGCTCTGAGATCTGGAAATGACTTGGGAAGGGACCTTACCTGTGTTTAGGTATGTGAAGGGCATGTGTGAGGAGGAAGCAACAGATGACAGGGCTTAGCTCTGGGGAGGAAGCTTTGGGCTCAGTATGTGTTGTCACAGCTACTGATAATCAGATGACTCAGAATGGAGAGGGTAGATTGTCAAAGACTGAGTCCCCAGTCATCAGGGTCCCTGCCAAGGAGAGGTACGATAGTTGCTATTGACATGTGGAGAGAACAATTCTTACCTGGGAAGAGGCTTAGGCTGGGTCTCTTTCCCCGGGCATGGGGTCTCTAGCACTGAGGGGTCTCTTGGCTCCACCACTAACTGGCACCCAACTTCTGAGTCAGTCTTTTTCCTTCTCCATATCTCTGTGTTCCAGCCTGGGACAGGATGTAAAGGTCCTGCTTCCCCTTGATCTTGTCCTATGGGCGGTATAAGGGGGACATGGGGAGTGGGGTGCAGATGTGGGATCTGGGAGCTTTCTTTGGGCACAGGACGCAGCCATACTGGGCCAGAGTGCTGCAGGACCCATAGATGGAGCATTTTCTCCTGAGGCCTGGAATGGTGTGGCCTTGGGAACGTGACATTCCAGTGTGTCTGTACTGCAGTACTGGTATTGAAACCTAGTCATAGGAGAGCCATCTGAGGTCATGGGGCCATGGGATGGGGCTGCCCGCATCAGGTCTTCTCCTGGCCTAGCTCCCATGAGCGCTGGTATTGACGGAGCACATAGTAGGCCCTTTCTCAGTCAGCACGTTCAGTGGGATCTGCCAATGGCACAGCCCTGTCTGCCGACGGTTAATTTCCGGGAGCCAAAGACAGGCTTGCAGAGGGTCCCCAAGTCTTTCTGGGCTTGCTTTGGAACAAGGGGATAGGGTCTGGGGAGGAAGGAGAAACTGGAGCTCACAGGGAGCATCAAAGGGTTGGTGCGAGTTTTATTGGGGCCTTTACTGCCCTAGTTTTCATTATTTACACCCTGTTGATTCTAGGAGCTCCCGTTAAATGTGTAATAAATATAAAAATATTTTACAGGCCAGTGAAAATTCCACAGCAAAAATAACTCTATAAAGAGGGATTTTGCCTGGCTCTGCCCGCTGCCGAATTCTGTGTGGCATTCCTCTGGGCCTGTTGGCTGGCAGCAGGGTGATGAGGTGGCTGGGTTCCCCAGTCATGGTGCGGGGGGTCGTGAGCTGAGTGTTTAATTAGCCCCTTTACCAGCCTGTGATGAAATGCTCCTCCCAGGGCTGAGCCCGCCAGCTCGCCCAGCTGGTGGCGGGTGAGAGTAGGCTGGAGTGGAGCCTGGGTACCAGGTTGGGCGGTGGGAGTCTGGGGAGCAGCGGGGAGGAGGAAGGGATCAGGGTAAAGCTGTTCTCCTGGCACCTCCCTGCCCTCCTTGATAGTTTGAGGTGTGGCCAAGGGGGTGGGCAAGAAGGGTGGGGCTGAGAAGACAGTGTAGAGCAGTGATTTGGAGCAAGGGTTCCGAAGTCAAACCACTTGGGTTCCAATCCCACCTCTACCACTTAGTAGCTGTGTGACCTTGGGCAGATGACTTGCCCTCTCTGTGCTTCGGTTTCCTCCTTTGTGAAACCTATCTCTCGTGAACGTCATGAAGTATGTGCCATAGGAGGACTCAATAAGTAGTTTTAATTATTATCTTATGCTCAATAATTGTAATTATTTTAAATACAGAACCAGGCATTCAGAATTCCAAGCTTTGGACCGTTAGGTGCAGGGGGGACTCCTGCTGCTTCTGTCAGACCTGCACTAACCAGTTTGGGAGCCACTAGCCACACGACGGCTACTGAACACTTGAAATGTAGCTGGTCTGAACAGATGTGAAGTGAGACACATCGAGGATTTTAAATAAATACTTGGTATGAAAAAAGACCTAAGATATCTCATTAATATTTTTTTTATGTTCATTACATGTTGAAATAATATTCTCTATATCTTGGGTTAAATAAAATATATCATTAAGTTTAGTTTCATCTGCTCTTTTTTACTTTTTTTTTTTTTAATGTGGCTACTAGGAAACTTAAAATTATATTCGTTGCTTCCATTGGTGGCCTGCATTGTATTTTAGTGGAACAGCTCTGCCTTCTCTGGGGAGGGCAGGACGGAAGCCCTTGGAGTCTCGCACCCTGGCCCAGTTCAGCCCCCTGTTTTATAGAAAGGGAGACCCAAGCTAGAGAGGGCAGCAACTTCCCTGAAATCCCGCGGCTGTTGGGTGACAAAGCTGCTCCACAACTTGACCCATTTGCTTCTTTGGGTCTCAGAGAGATGGTCCGTCTCGCGTATTCTCTTTCCTGGTTGTGGGGGTAGTCAGATCAAAGGGAGTTACAACAAATGAATGTTTGTTAAATGCGGTCTGTGGCATTTGGTGACTCCATGACCTGTTTAGGGAATGGGCTGGTAAAGAGTGGAGGCAGCATCTTCATCTGTGGGGTGGAGAGAGGGTTGCAGAATGCCACCTTCCTATGGTCACCCCTTGAGGACCAGCTGCCCCAGCACAGGCCCTTTGGTGGGCAGTGCGGTGATGACGATGGTGTGAGGCTGACATGACAGGCAGCGTTCGGTGGGCTGAGGGTGAGCCAGGCTCTGTGCTATGGGCTTTACACACTTTCTCTCTTTTCACATACGAAACCCCAAGAGGCAAGTGTTATTGCGATTCCTATTTTAGAGATGAGAACACTGAGGCAAGGAGGTTTAGCGACTTTCAGCCTGGAAGCAGTGGGGCTGGAATTTGAAGCCAGGGTGGTGTGAACCCGGGCCAGGTTCCTCATCACTGGGCCGCCCTGCTGGCAGTGCAGCTTCGGGGCTGTTCTCCCCAGTATCCGCTTTCCCCAGGTGTGGCCAGACTTCCCACCATCCCTACTCCCCTGATACTCTGCCTTTTCCTTGCCACTCAGGAAAGCAAATTGGAAAGTCAATGATGAGAGAGATGCTGTTACAGGAACTTCCCTAAATCTACTCTAAATCTATGGAAATGGTAAATTGTGCCCAAATTTTGGTACTGAGTCTTAGCCACAGATTGGAGGCACATATATGAGAATCAGAGCCGCCTCATAAAAAGGAGTCCTAGAGTGAAAGCTACACGTGTGTTCTGAGCAGTGTGCCGTGTCCTCCACCACACAGCTTCCTCCTTTCCCTTTGAGGTGGAGGCTATGACAGTGACCATTTCACAGATGAGGAAACTGAGGCACTGGGGAGGTTATTTTTTGCTACTGTTACAATGGTCAGAATGATGCTTTGCCACACTCTCTGGTAGATGGAGACAATTTGGTGTTTCTGGTACTCCCTTGTCTCTCAGAGTGGCCTGGACCACAGGCAAGAGGTTGCCAGCCAGAGAGCCCCTTCTGCTGTGGTATCTGTCAGCAGGGCCAGCTGCGTGGATGTTGGTGCTTGGGGCAGTGAGATGCTGGCTTTGTGGCCCTGGCAATTTTCTGCCCCTTGGGCTTGGTGTGCTCATCACAGCCTGAGTGGGTCTGACTGGGGGGTGCCCACCAGGCCCCAACCATGGTGACAGACAGCACAGGTGTAGTGTTGGGACCTCAGCGGGGCTAGGAATTCCGAAAGGGTCTCAAGGCGGCTGTGTTGGCAGGCCCATCAAAGGCGGCATGGGCGAGGCCCTCAAGTAGGGCTTAGGGGCTGAGGGGCATGACCCCCTTCAACATGGGGATCCTCCCCACTCAAGGGACCCTGTCATCGGCCCAGAGGCCTCTTGCTTAGTTCTGTAGTCCAGGCTCTGTTGCTGTCCATCCTAGAGGCTGGTGGGGATGTGCAGGTGCACCACGTTGGTGTGGCTGCAGGGCAGGAGGGGTGGGACCTATATTTGACTCTGCCTTTCCTGTCCTCCTGTCCCACCTGCTTCTTTATGGCAGGGCAGGAGCAAGGCTGGGAGTCTTTTTCCCTCTTGAAGGGTCTGTTGCTATGAGTCTTGGCCATGAGTCTTCACTCCCAAACTGGGCCAGATCCTGGAAGGCTGGAATCCCTGTTTTTCCCTCCAGGCACATGGACTGGGATTGGGGAGGGCATTCTAGAGCATTGGGATGAAATTGCTCAAACAGACTACCTAGTCCACAGTGACAGTAGCCTCTACCAGCTCCTCTGTCCTGGGGCCAGCACACCTCTGCACAGGGGCCTCATGAGAGGCAGCACTTGGACTTGCCCTGAGTGTCTCTGAGGCGTGCTGCCCAGTATCTTTAGGGGTTAACCGTGGGTTTTTGGGAGGACCGTAACCCATCCGAAGCATGGGCTGAGTGGGGCGGGGTGATCAGCTTAGGGTGAGAGCCACCACATCAGGTTGGAGTGTCAGGGCAGAGGCCCAGATGAGCCCCGTTTTGTCTCACCACGCCTGGCCTTGCCTCCTTCATCTCAGCCTGGTGACTTACTTGGCCCAGATAGCCTGGCCTTGGCTGCGGAGAGGACACAACATGAGGTGTGTGGCCATCTTCTGGGGCCATAGTCACCATGCAAGAAGGCCTGAGCTAGGCAAGAGGGTTGCAGGTACTAGGATGGTCCAGGGGCCTGGCTTCTTGTACTAGCAGGCCATCATTGTTTCATTGTGGCGGGAGTTGTAGAATTTAATTCCGGCTGTGGCTGTTGAATACCCACCTCCTCTTGTTGGGGCCATGGAGGGCTGTTCCTCTCAGCTCTGGGTGTTGCTTATGGTGGCCTCTCTGCGTCCAGGATGCAGACTTAGCCTTGCTGGCCATGGCAGGCAGTCTTTAATCCCTCTTTTGTGTCGTCAGAGGCTGGGGTGAGAGTTCACGAGAGGGGAGTCCCTGGGCTATGCAATTAAGTCTCACACTTGGCATGGAGACCTGGTTTTAATGCACGTATCCCATTTGCTGGCTTTTCCAGGCCATTGTCCCCGGCCTGGGCCCATGGACTAATTATAGGGTGTGGGCTCTGGGGTGGTTCAGCGGCCTGGCTGGCCACATTGAGTTGTCCTGCTCCTGGCTGCTGTGCTGTGCTGGGAGGGGCCCAGGCGCACTTGCTGTGGGCAGCCTCCATGATGGTCTGCTGTGAATGGGTGGGCTAGACGGTCAGCGGCTGCCCTGGGGAGGGGACTCACCACTAGGGGAGATGTCTGACTTCTCCCATGTACTGGCTGGCGGAGCTGGCTTGTGGGGTGGGCTGTGGCAGCCCACGGAGAAGAAGGAAAGGTAGAGATCTGCCAGGGCTCCCTGGGGATGTGAGAAGTATATTTTGGGGGTGTGGGCTCTCAGGTGACCATGGTGTGGTTCTCAGAAGTGGCTACGCCTCTCTGTTTGGTGCTTTGTGTCTAGTCCTCGGGCTGTGGAGGGGACTCCATTCTTCCTCAGAGACAGATGCAGAGATGCGGGTTGCACGTCAGACTCATGACCAACCTCATATCACAGAGGAAGCGCGCACCATGCCCCTGTCACGGTGAATTACA